AGAGCTAGCATCTTTCCCAAGACCCACCCCTGTCTGGTGCTTCAGAGGTTGGGGTTATCAAACTAAATCAGTGGTTGAGGGCATGGGTTCTGGAGTCCAGACCTGGTTCTCATGCTTGGTAGCTTGGTACTTAGCATTAATCTCTTTGTGCTTCAGCTGCCTCTTTAAAACCATCCCTTTGCTTAACGGGTAAAGGCTCTCCAACCACACCCACCAGCACGTGGTAAGGTGAGTAGGCGATCCATCCCCAAATCCAGGGGCTCTGCCTTCCCAAGCCCCTGGCATTCTAGGGCAATACTCATCTCCCCGCCCACTTCCATGAGTGACAGATGAGTGGCAGACCCTGGCTTACTGGCAGAACCAAGGTCTCATGGGCCACTCCCCAGTCGGCTGTCCCAGGCAGGTAGAACAGAAGTATGTTGGTGGGCACCATGTTAGGCTAAGAGCAGAGTGGGGAGAGAAGATCAGAACTTAGTGGGTGACTCTTCCCAGTCAGAGCTGCCTGGGTGGTAGTGTGCACCCCATCTCTGGGGACAGGCAAGCAGAAATGAGACAGGGTGGGGTGGGGTCTGATCAGGATGACCTCATTCAGGCCTGGTGGTCTCCCTTCTCAGCACTGGGAAGGGGATGGCAATGTTAAGCCAAAGGTGGCTTCTGGCTACACCAGGAGAACTAGAGGTCAGACGTGGAGGACCTCAGGGCAAGGAATGAAGCAGAAAGATGGGGACTTGCCAGGGGCAGGGACAGCTGAGGATAGTGGTCTGAGTGCCCAGGTAGCTGGCCCAGTCTCTTCTCTCTTACCTGGGAAGGGGGTCTTGACAGGGGTGGACCTTCTGGTCTCTACAACACCCCCCGGGGCTTAACCTTCCCCTTCTATCACTATGGAAACTGAGAATTTCCTTCCAGGGTCCCCATAGTAACTGACCCTGTTTCCATGGGGACCCCACACTTCCACATCAGCTCCCCAGTTGCCATAGCAACTCCAGAGATTACCAGCCCCTCCCCCAACCCTGGGCTCTGTGCTACTCTCCCCATCACCTCAGTCCCACCCTGTCCAGTTGCCTTGGTAATTAATGAAGGCAAGGAAGAAGAAACCCTGGTTGCCCCTTTGAGGTATGGAGGGGGGCCAAGCACCAAGGAGGCTATTCTACCTTCCTTTTTCCCATTTCAAGAGGGTAAACTGAGGCACAGGAAGGAATATGACCCAGCTAAGGTCCCACAGGTAGCAGAGGGCCTGACCAGGTTTCCATGAGGCAATAGAAAGAGTTCATCAGGCAGGAGTGAGGGACCAGGGAGGGGTGGGCAGAGCAAGGTCAACCCCAGCTCTGACCTGACCTCCCTGGAACCCTGAGTCTTCAATGGCATAACTGGAGAGTTCAGCCTGGGCTCCCTACTTGTAACCTGAATGTTTGTCCTGTCCTGCCCTTTGTGACCCTGTGTGCCATGCCCCTCAGCTCTCATGCCCTCCAGTGCTCCCTTTCACTGGGGCTGTGGAGCAACACTACTGCTCCAGGCTGAAAAGGGGCCACTCATTTGCATGTTATTTTGCATAACTTTTCAATGCTGCCCAACTGCCAGCCTGTGGGGTGCTGTCCCCAGTCTCCTTATCCTCTCACCCACTTCCTACACCCACCCTGGGGAAGCCCTGGTGGGTTGAGTCCTCTGGATGTGCCCCTACCCATCCACCAGGCCTCCCCCTCACTCCTGACCACTTGCCTCTCGAATTTCCCACCGCCAACAGCTCCTGCTCCGTTCCTGTCCCCTCAGCCCTCAAGTCCCAAACTCAGCCTCCTCTGGCATGACTTCCCTGATCGGTCACTGCTGTGGGGCCAATCTCCTCCATTCAGCAATTCAGCTAATATCCAAGGAGCACCTACCATATGTGAGGTGCTGGGGAAACCACAACATAGCCAGCACAATAAGGGTTAACATGGGGACATGCCTGAGCTGAGGTCCAGCTTGGTCTGAGGGGACAGGGAGGAATGTTCCTCAAACGGGAGGGAGAAGGCTCCATGCAGAGGAAATAGCTTGTGCTGTCCCCGGGTGCAGACCCACCGAGGCTTCCTGCCCACAGGACTAGACCTTTCCTGGGGAAAGTTACAGAGGATGGAGGCTGGGCTGGAGCTCTGCCAGACCCTGCCCCAAACTTGTCTGACAATCTTGGTATGACCCTGCCTTGGTTTCCCCACTAGGGCTCTGAGGGGCTCAGACTGGGTGATGTCCAGGGGCACTCTGGCCTTCCTTCCTCCTTCAGTTGTCACCCACAGCTTCCTCCCCCAGGGGACTCCATGGCCCCCAGCTGAGCAGGGGCCTCAAAGGTGGGGGGTGGGCAGGTCTGAACCTAGGGTCTGTGAGAAGGAAGGGCAGAAAGGGGGGTGCTCCCCAGGGCAGGCCCAGATCCACAACTGGGGAAACAGGTTTGCTAGCTGATGTCAGCTCTCACTGCTGAAGGGAGGGGTGCAGGTGTTGGAGGAGCCTTCTAGCTGGGTGGTGGCCAACTCAGGGGTCTCTGAACACCATCTCTCAGTTCAAGCCCTTACCTTATCTGACCCCCTCCCCCTAGCACACACACAATAGGTCCCTAGCAGGGTTCAAAGTAGCACAGCCACCACTCGCCAGGAGCCCAGCACAGAGGGGTGGGGATCCTGTTCCATGTTCTGGGAGGGGAGCAGGACCAAGCAGGCAGGAAGGCAGTGCTAGGAGGCTGGCTGGAGCTTCCTCTCCCCAGGCGGCCTGGCCCCGCCTGGCTCCCCAGTTCACACTCACATCCTGGATTTGTTTGCCTGGCCCCAGGCTGCCCCCTGCCTGCCCAGGCTGCCAAGGCTACAACCAGCCAGCCTGTGCCCCATACCTGCCTTGTCAGGTAAGGAGCTGGAGGGGGAGAGGGAACTCAGCACAGATTCTGAGGAAATAGAGGGGTTGACCATTTGCAGAGCTCAGCTAGAAGGGGCAACGGGAGACAACCATGCTGGAGGCACAGTCCTGGGAGACGGTACCAAGTCACCCTCCCCCCAGCAGCATGCCACCCAACCTGAAGACCCACCATTAACATCCCTCAGACTCATCACCTGGTTCAAGCTCCCCTTCACCTGGTCACAGGTGAAGAAACTGAGGACCAAGAACCTGTCCATGGCCACAGGGGGCAATCAGAGGCATGGGAGCCAGGGGCAGGTTTCCTTCCGAATCTTTTGCTCCTTCACAAGGACTAAGTCTTGGAGAATGGAGACAAAGAGGCTGGGTTGAGGGGACCCAATGGGGCTAGCGAAGCAGGAGCCTTCTCTGGCCTGGACCAGCCATACTGGCTACCCCTCTGCAGAGCCCAGGCCACGCCTGAGGTCAAGGCTGTGCCAAATTTACAAATAGGGAAGCAAAGGCTCAGAATTGTAAAGAGCTTGCCCTGGGTCACATCAAAGAGGGACCGTACTCCATGCACTGCCTCCTGCCAGGGGCCTGGACCTCTCACCACCTGAGCGGATTCAAGAAGCTGTGGCCCTTATGGCCTGGATTCCAGGTCCCTGGGGTCCCAGACCTGGCCTGCAGTCCTGGGAGACAGTCAGCCAGCCTCTTCACAGCGGGCCAACTGATCTGAGCATGAACTTCCCCCCAGTGACGAGATCAGGGGCACACAATAGTCCATTGTGCCCATGACACACCTGAGCCAGGAGCACGATGCCAGGCAGGTTCAGGGAGGGAGGCTGGTGCTGGGTGAAGAGGAAGGGGGGGTGTTACCTTGGGATCCTGCCTTGCTGAGGATGCAGAAGGAAAGTGGGGGCCTATGTGTGTGAGGCAGAGTTTAGGGACACTTGGGTCAGAGTCACTCTCTTCAACTTCTGAGGCCACTTGAGGTAGTCTCTGAGACAGGATGGGGACTTCAGGAAGAAAGGACCTCCCTCCATCCCTTCCAAACATCCCTCCTAGCTCACCCCCAACCCCCACCTTCTGTATCCAAGGCAAATCTTTTCTTCTGGCTGGACCCCCGGGTTTACCCCCACGGGCGTGGGGTGGGGCCGCCTCAGATCAGGGAGGAGGTCACCACTGCCGGTTCGCTGGGGGTACGAGAGTATGAGTTTACTCAAGTCGAACCACAGTAGGGACCGCGCCCCCGGCCTGCCAGGACCCCCGACCCACTCAGACCCGTTGGCCGAGTACCCCACGGGGCCGCGCCCACAGCAGGGGCAAGCCCCAATTCAAAACTAAGCCCCCCTGCCCCTCACGACCCGGCCAGTCTCTCGTTTATTTTCCGGCCTCAGTTTCCCCATCTGTAAAAGCGGGAAGTGCCCGGCGGTCTTGGTCCAGGCCCCTCTCCTCGGACACGACTGAGGCTGCGCAGTCCCCACCCAAGAGGCTCTTGTGAGGTGCGCGGCCGCGAAGGTCGTCCCCCAGGTATAAGTGCCAGAGGCACCGGCGGGCCGGGGACGCACACGTGTGTGCGGAGCCCGAGCACGCCCGCTAGCGCGCGCATCTAAGCGGCCCGGGTGGCGCGGGGCGCAGGTGCAGCAGGCGCGGGGCGCGG